TCTTCCGATCTCCCCAAAACCCCAAAACCCCAAAACCCCATAAAGTAAATTCGCTTAGATAATCTTAAAATAAATAATCATTCTGGATAGATATATAAATTGTCATAGAGTATATTTTTCATCTATGAAATTTCATTATAAATATTACTAGCATGTTCAGTAATACTTTCAACATATGATTTTTCTGCTTTATAAAATCTTGAATTTTCCAAAAGCTTTGTGTTACCACTTAAACTACTCTTGAAGAAAGTGTTTTTGTGATTCTTATATTTAGAGAATGCCTGAGTGTTAGAGCCAATGGCCTACAACGCTCTTAAAGTTCTTTAATTTGTTTATTCAAAATCCTAAGCATAATCGCCATTACTGGTAGAATTAATTGCCTTAAATAGACCATGAATCATATCAGTGAATAAAGTATAGTCGGTGAAGTTATCTAATTTTACCTATATCTAGAAGTATTCATGTTTGAGAATCACCTAGGAATTATTAAAAAAACTTTCCCAAAATTTGGCATAGGTCTTTCCAAATACCTTCGATGGATCTGATTTTGTACCATTTAAACCTATTGCATCAATCATTCCTCTCACATCCAATTTAGCTCCATTGTTAAAATTGTCCATGACTAATGACATACTTGGGTTAAACTTTGGATTTGAACTAGATATTAAAGTTGCGCTCTTGAAATTATAATTCTTCAATTTGTAATAAAAAATCATTCCTTCACTCATATTAACTGAGATGATAATGACGCTTATGTTAACTTCCAATCTGATAATTTCTTGAAATTGTCTATTTTCTTAGGATTAATCCGTACAGTTGTATAATACAAGCTAAAATGTGTTATCCTCGACATACAAATCACCAGCAGCAATAGATAATGATAGTGCATTTCGAGCTTGTAACTCCACTTTGGGAGATATTATATTTGGAAATGATTAGTCAAAGTTAGGTATAATTTTATTTATCAGCTTTTTCGTCAACTGATCTCCCCCATAACTCATTGTTCTGTTATGAGCATCATTAATTATAGTGTAAAGCTGGTTTAAACTTTGCAGACTTACAAAAATTTACATGGTAGAGGGGATATTAAGATAAAGAGGTATATAGTTTACATTTTCTGCAATATCAAAGCCAAAATCAGAAATTGTTCCGAAATGAGTTACAGATAAAAAGTTGTCATATATGATAGGACTATATTATTGGTTGATAGGTTTATTTAATCCAAGGAACACATATGCATAAGGATCTTCATATATTCTGCATCTCATGATACTTATTGAGATAATTGACATCAGTAAATCAACTTTATTTTATATTAGAGTATTTACATCAGTAAGCCACTAGTTAATGTTTTATAGGGTGAAATCCTTGGAATCTTCAAAGAATTTTGAAACTTCATTCATGAAAATCCCTTGTTCAGGGCAAATAAGGTTAACATCACTACTTTTAGCATTAATTTGAATTTGTTCTACTTTTAAATTTAGCGCGAATGCATCTGAAGTATTTAACCTGATAGTTATGGTTAGTGATACATTAGCTAGTCTCAATTCAACATCTCTCAGCTCAGTATAAGGCAGCAGATCTTAATTCGTAGTGAAATTAGAAACAAAAGTGATTCTTGCATGAAAGTTACTGACGTGTATTTTAATTCTTTGAGAAGGCTCTATAAGTGACACTGTTGAGGCAGACCTGTCAAATAGGAAGTATTTCAAGTTAATATTTTGAACTGTCCAGTCAAACAGTGATTCATTGTATCCAAATTAGGGGTCATTAGGATCATCATTTTTTATTTTAAGATTGAACAGATGCTAAATTTGTAGGTTAATTGGATTATTAATCAAGTCCTGAGCTGTATAATTCAAGATGTCATTAAATTTATCGAATAAATTCTGGTTATATGCGAAGTTAATACCGGATTTGACTAGTCTATCAGGCCTCTTTACTTACTATTAAGATAAGCAAATAAATAACCCAATCATTATAGTTAAGCTAAGTTTGCTCTTAATAACCATTTTTATCTAAATTAATATAATTCCCTCGAATTCTCAGTTCTTTGATCCTCGGGGTTTTGGGGTTTTGGGG